AACATCCCAGATCAAGTCTGTAAGTCCGATATTAGCCCATAGGTCCAATACCAGTCTATAAATTCCTCTTCAGTATCACACAGCACATGCAATGACACCGAATGCAGGAAGATCACAGGCCCGTGGGTGGAAAGTCTTGTGTATCCAGTGGCAGTGGAAGCATCTCAGCACTGGCATGGATTTCCACGTGGCTCCTCCAGCTCCAGGGCTCTGGCTCCATCAGTGTAGCTTCATGTGCTTGTCAACAGGAATGTCTTACAGGAAGACAAGCAGAGAGTGTATCTGGTCTCCGGTGAGACATTTATCTCCTTCATACCTCCAAATGAGGTCATCAAGCTGCGACCTGATTGACAGGCTAGACTCCACCCCTTCGCAAGTTGACAGAGATTATGTAACTGCCACCATTATTTTTAGAAAAGTGTCCCTCCTAACTCTATCCTATCATTCCATTCTCATTCATACTTTCTTCCCACCCAGCTTTGTAAGTAACCAGTTTGGCATAGAAGAACAGGTACATATATCCTTGTATATTTTCTTATATAACACGTTAGAATATTATACTATGTAGAATATTGTACTGTGATGGGTTTTTTGTGTGTGTGGGTATTTTTTGGGGAGGGTTGCATTTTTCACCTATGCATATATCTAGGCCATCACTTGTCTGTTAGTTTATCATACTGTGGGGGCTTGGGTGTTGCTGTGATACCGGAAGCTATGTCACTGGCATTAGGGGCACCCAAAGTGAACGGGATTCAGCAGATCTTACAGACTGAGAACAGATGATGAAGGAGGAATCGGCTTTCCACTTCTGAGGGATTGGTCAATGAACAGCAGCATAACATCGTCAGACTTAATGCTACAAGTTGAGGCCTTCGGGCCAGAAGGCCCTTATAACCTGCCGGAGAAAAAGATGCCTTCTCAAAGTGAAGTCGATCATAATGAGAGATGGAGTAGAGCTTTCAGGACCTTCATTTGCTGAGGAGCACGGCTCAAAGGTAGAAGAAACAGCTGAAACATTTATTAGTGTCCTTTGGAATGGACAAAATGTAAATCTAGGAAAATTGGGAGTCATCAAAAATTAAATGGAGCCCAGAAAGATGGAGCTCTCAAGCATGGGTGCACTGAAATGGACTCATGCTGGTCAGTTTGAATCAGTTAACAGGAGGGTTGACTGTGAGTGATTTAGGAAGAACGGCATCACATTCTTCGTTCAGAAGGCATTTCCAGATATGACTCGAAGTACAATGGTGATCGTATTAATATTGATCCCCATGTAAACAAGTCCATCCAGTAGTTATTATTCACATTTTTGCACCAACCACTAAAGCTAGTGATGAAGTCCATCAACATCTTCAGTCTGAAAGGGATCAAACTTGCAATAAAACGCACTGATTATTATTGGTGATTGGAATGCAAAAATTGGAAATAAGCAGGAAAGAACAGTAGTTGGAAAATATGGCCTTGGTGACAGAAACACAGCCGGGGATCACACGACAGAATTTTGTGAGACTAATAATTTCTTCATCACAAATATTGAATATGTCATGAACTACCAGAAGAGCAAACAGATCTTCCTGGAAGGAAGTACAGCCAGACTGCTCCTCAGAAGTGAGAATGGTGAACTTTTCTGCCATGATTGGTAAAGGTGAATGTCAGTTGAAAAGAGCAAAATCCTTGACAAGACGGATTCACACAGTGGCTAGAACGATGGGTTCAAACAAAACAATTTGAGGTTGGCACAGGACGGCAGTGTTTCATTCTGTTGTACACTGGGTCTCTATCAGTTGAAACTGAACTCTTCTCAGTGGCTCAGTTTTCAGCCAAATCATAGACAAGCTTATAGGTAAAAGAAACATCTGGGAAGTATATGTTCCGTGGAGCAGTCAACTATTTGAGGTTAAAAGGGCAGCTTTTTCCCAGGTCTAAGACGCAGGAAGCAGGAAGGGGTAGGGAAGGAGAATAGTGAACATGGGGAGGAAGTAAAGAGTGCTGTTACACCGTGGGGATTACGGTCAATGTCATGAATCAAACGGTGCATGAATTGTTGAATGGAAAAGCAATAATCTCTGTAAACTCACCCAAATAAAAAAAGTAAAAATAAAAAAGTAATGATAGTTGATGTTCAGAAAAAAATGGTGTGAAGCATTTTTGTCCTGTAAATCTGCACTGTTAACTTAAATTCGCTCTTGTTTTACATGGCTTAGTATTAAGTGAACATTTTGATAAATTATGATTTATAAATTGACCATCTGTGTCCCATCTATGCATGGGTTCCCTCTTTTGTTAGCAGAACATCTTGTTAATCAGGAAAGTTTAGAAAAGTTATACACATTGTAACTTCCTTTGATCATCACCAGGGATAAGATTGGAAAGGGAGGGAAAGCCGCTAAGTAGACAGTTGACATGCATTAACAATCCTGCAATAATAGTAATAAGCTATCATTACAAGTGGTGTGTCAGTCCAGGTTGACTAGAGAAACAAATCCAGAGACACTCATATATGTATAAAAAAGAGTTTCATATCAAAGAGTAATTTATATTAAGAAAACATCCCAGCCTCATCCAGATCAAATCCATAAGTCCGATACTAGCTAATAAATTCCTCTTCAGACTCACGCAGCACATGCAATGATGCCAAGTGCAGGAAGAGCACAGGCTAGTGGGTGAAAGTCTTGTGGATCCAATGATGGTGGCAGCATCTCAATGCTGGCATGGGTCTCCATGTGGCTCCTCCAGCTCTCTTGAGTGAGTCTCTCCAACAGGAAGGTGAAGCAGAGAGGGAGAGGGAGAGAGACACTCACAGGGCTCAACAAGTCTCTGCATGGCTTGTCAACAGGAAGACAAAGGCAGAACGAGAGGAAATTCCCAGAATCCTCATGAGAAGGCCCATGCCCACAAAGAGGCATCATTAGGCTGTGACCTGATTGACACTTTAGACTCCACTCCTTCACTCTTTGTACCCTTAAGTTGACACAAGATTATATAGCTACCACAAGTGGATACATAGGTAGGTAATGTAAACTGAATAGTTGTGGGATGGTGTATGGGAGTACATGCATGGATATATATAAATTTGGCAGAGGACATTTTTATATAAATATTTGTATGTAATGCAAATATATCTAGGCATGTAGTAGAGCATACAAAGGGCACAATTATGCAAACTTATTAACCGTAACCAAACACCTCATGAGACGGAGTCACTGGGGGCCTGAAAACTGAGGGCAATATTCTCAGGGGACATCTAGGTCAACTGGTATCATAACATAGTCCACAAGGCCAATGTCCTACATCCTACTTTGGTAAATAACAACTAATGCCTTGAAAGCTTGCAAGCAGCCATCTACAATCCAAGTCTCCTGGTCTGGATCTAAGAGGTGTGAGGAAAATCAAAGACCCAAGGAAATAATTAGTTAAAAGTACTAATAGATCACATGAGCCACAGCCTTCAATAGGCTGAGGCCAGAAAAACTAGGTGGTAACCAGCTACCACCACCAACCATTCTGACTGGGATCACAGTCGGCAGTCTCGGGAAGAGTGGGAGAAAAATATAGGACAGAATTCAAAGTAATAAAAAGACCAGACTTCCTAGTCTAATAGAGAGTGGTGGGACCCTTCAAGACGATGAGCCTTCAAAATTGGAATTTCACCCCCTCCCAGAGATCGCCTCTCAGCCAAACTGTGACCAAGCCTGTAAAGTGAATAGTACCTGTTCTCATTAGGAAAAAACCAACCATATGAGACCAAAAGAACAACATTTGACAAAAAGCAAAGTTCAGAAGACAAGAAGAGTCAAGAAAGTGTGGTGAACAGAAATAGGGATCTCAAGGAGAAAGTGGAAATGGTTACATTGAAGAACTTGCAGCTAATGTCATAAAACAAAATGTGTGAATTGTTTAATGGAAAACAAATTTGTTCTGTAACCAAAATAAAATGATTTTTCAAAATAATAATTTATAAATTATCAAGGATTCATGAGGGAGTGGGGAGCGGGGAGGGAAGGGAAAAAATGAGGAGCTGATACCAAGGGCTCAAGTAGAAAGCAAATGTTTTGAGAATGATGATGGCAACAAATGTACAGATGTGCTTGACACAATGGATGTATGTATGGATTGTGATAAGCGTTGTATGAGCCCCCAATAAAATGATTTTTTAATTTATTTTTTTAAAGCTATAGATCTAGATTATAATGGAAAAACATTTCTAATGCTGTCAACTAACTAAAAAATTTAAAAACACTCTTCACCAAGCTACTGACATGGGCTATGGGAACAAGTATTAAGACCACCAGTTACCAGTTGGACAAAGAAAGAACTTTGCTACCAGGGAGCTGATGTCACAATGGCACCAAGAGTCATACTGACTTTTATAAAGTTATTGGCCAGAAATTTTAAGCTCTGTCTCAGATTTTGCGCACATAGATTAATAAAATGAGCCCTGCACTTGGAATCTGGGAATAAGACCCTGTTCCCAGTACTACCACCCACAGATTGTATCCAAGGATGGAGGAACCATTAATTCCTCAATGCCTTCAGTGTACTCCCCATCCTGGGAAGTGGCCAGATAAGATGCGTGAGTCTTCAAAATCTATAGTTTCTAAAAGGTGTCCTACCAGTAAGTCCAAAAACAAGTAAACATGAAAAGGAAAAAAGCTCTCTCTAAATCTGTATGTCTGCAGGAGAATTTATCTAAATTTCCATCGCTACTGTATACATGGGCTGAATTCTGAAGGAAGAATGGAAAGGCAAGTTTGAAAATTAAAGGACAGTGGGAGTTCAAATCTTGTAAAACCAAGTCTAATGTCATCGTTCCTTATCAGCAAAAATATTGCTACATTATGCTGAATGCTGATTATTTTTGGAAAAAGGTAGAATCAATATAATTTACAACCAGGTGATGCTTAGACCTATATTCTTGTTATAGCTGATCTTTTTTTGTAAGTAAAATTAAAAAAACAATTTATAAACAGCCAGCTGTCAAGTGTTTTCAGAATACATAATTACTTTAATTCTGAAATAACTGCTTCCAGTTTTTCTTTAAGGGCACCACAAAATTCACCCACCTTTCCCTCTTTTCTATAAAACTGAAAGGTTGGTATGCACACAATTCCAAAGTCTTTAATCAGCTCCTCACATTCATCAACATCCACTTCAAGGAACACCACATCATCATACTTGTTAGACAGGGTGTAGAGCAATGGCTTGATTACCTTGCAGGGTCCACACCAGGTAGCCGAGAAGTCCACAACCACCAGTTTCTCCCCTGCCTCTTTGAGGTTAGCCTCAAAGTCCTCCTTGCTCTGGATCGTCTTCACCTTATCACCTTCCAGGGGCTTGGCTGTTTCTTCTGAGGGCTTTGATGTATCACTTTCCATGGTCTCGATCGTTTGTTCTGAAGGTTTCAGAGCGGCACCTTCCATGGGCTCGATCGCTTGTTCTGAAGGTTTCAGAGCGGCACTTTCCATGGTCTCGATCGCTTGTTCTGAAGGTTTCAGAGCGGCACCTTCCATGGTCTTGATTGATTGTTCTGAAGGTTTCAGAGCGGCACCTTCCATGGTCTTGATTGTTTGTTCTGAAGGTTTCAGAGCGGCACCTTCCATGGTCTCGATCGCTTGTTCTGAAGGTTTCAGAGCGGCACCTTCCATGGGCTCGATTGCTTGTTCTGAAGGTTTCAGAGTGGCACCTTCCATGGACTGGATTGTTTGTTCTAAGAACTCTGGGGTCTTGCCTTCTTTGGGCTCGACTACCTCTGGGGGGGTCTCCATTGCAGGTTGCAGCACTTCGGATGCATTGGGCATGTTGGTGATTGTGATCTTGGGGGCCAAAGCCTTCTCCTCAGCCTGGGTTGGCTCTGAGAGCTCTGGGACTGGGAGATCCACATTGCTGGACATAATATGTAATGGACTTTCTAAAGAAAAAAGTAAATAAAATTTTAAAGGAAGAAACAAAAAGCTTAATCATATAATTCTAGGAAAATTGATAGTCTTAGAGATTGAGAATGAAGTCAAATAAATGATGTAGTAATTTGAATGATCATAGTCAAGAAAAGGTCAAGCAACATGGGATTATATGTATCTTTTACGTAAAGTTTTTGGTTTCTAAATAAAATGTTCTTTTCTGAGTTCAGTACTACTGGCTCCCTACTACTTAGGTCTCAGAGGTGATTCTCATCCCTCCCCCATACCGTTAGTGTTGTCTTCATTTATCTCTTCTGGATGGTCTGGTCTCATTTTCAATTCTTCCATGGTGCCAACGTTATCACTTTCCATTTTCAATTTTCCATCTACCTCCACTTCTCACACTTCATATATACTTCATGTGCCTCATAGGAAGGATGCATCCATACCCTCAAGAGTTTGCCAACCTAACATCTTAATAGGAGTAATAACATTCATTTGTGTAGCACTTACAGTTGATTTCCCCTAATCTGTCCTCACAATTTGAGCACTTCATGACTGCTTCACCTGGGTGATTACCTGGGTAGGAGGCTGGGCTGAGTGTTCATTCATATGCATTGTTACATATATTACAACGATGAAGTAAGTACCATTATGATCACCACTTAAACAAATTTATGTAGCTTAGTGCATTATAAAACCTGTGACCTAGGGGCCAGACCAAATCCAGGGATATATATGGTAACCAACTAAAAAGGAGAGGGGGGAGGAAAAAAAGAAATGGGTAGCGGGGGCACAGGGCACTAACCCACAGGGAAAGAGGGACCAGACTTCAACATGGTGCTCCAAGATGTGACTGCAACATGCTGGCATGGAGTAGGGAACCAGTAGAGAGGTCTGAGGGGCCGGCCCCCATCCCAACGATAAGGACAGCTGCCCCGCCCCCCAGAATAATTTATTTCAGAGGACAGCACTGAGCTCAGAGAGAGGACCATTTCTGATCAGAGCACACGGGATGCAAATGAAGGGGGAGGAACAGAGAGTGGAGCACATTCTGGCCCACCACGCCTTGACAATGATATTCCCGCTCAGAGCAGCCAATCCACAGAGCAGACCATATGGCTGGCCCCACTATGAGACATGACGACGACATCCTTCACTGACCCATAGCCCTACAGGGGACAACACTGGAGACACAGTGTGGGAATTGCGCCCGATCTGATCCCACCACACCGAGGCAAAACCCTAAGGGCGTGCAACAAAACAGTAGCGGAAAACACTCCTAAAGGCCAACAAACAGTCCTTGAACTAACTACAAGCTTTTCTTTTTTGTTGTTGTTGTGTTGTTTTTTATTTTTGTCATTGGCTTCTTGTTGTTGTCATTGTTTTGTTTTCTTTTGTTGCTTAGTTTTGCTCTGTCTTGTTTTTATGCATGTTATTATCTCCGCAGGTCTGTCTAAATAAGATAGGCTGGATGAACAATCTGGAGGAGAAAACAATGGGACCGACAGTTCCGGGGTGACTTGGGAGAAGGGGAGATGGGGGGAAAGGAAGTGGTGCTAAAAAACACAGGAACAAGGGAACAACAAGTGATCCAAATTGGTGGTGAGGAGGTTGTAGGAGACCTGGTAGGACGCGATCAAGGGTAATATAACCGAGAGGAATTATGAAACCCAAATGAAGGCTGAGCATGATAGTGGGACAAGAGGAAAGTCAAAGGAAATAGAGGAAAGAGCTAGAAGGCAAAGGGCATTTATAGAGTTCTAAATAAAGGCATGTACATATGTAAATATATATATGAGGGTGGGGAAGTAGATTTATGTGCATATATTTATGGGTTTAGTATTAAGGCAGCAGATGGACATTGGGCCTCCACTTAAGTACTCTCTCAAGGCAAGAATACTTTGTTCTATTAAACTGGCATTCCATGATGCTCACCTTCCCGACATAATCACTGAAGACAAAGTGGGTGCATAAGCAAATGTGGTGAAGAGAGCTGATGGTGCCCGGCTATCAAAAGATATAGAGTCTAGGGTCTTAACCACTTGAAGGTAAACAAGCAGCCATCTAGCTCAGAAGCAACAAAGCCCACAGGGAAGAAACACACTAGCCTGTGTGATCCCGAGGTGTCAAAGGGATCAGGGATCAGGTATCAAAGAACAAAAAAATCACATCATTGTAAATGAGGGGGAGTGCAGCCCATCTGTAGGCAATTGGACATCCCCTTACAGAAGGGTCGTGGGGAGGAGACGAGCCAGTCAGGGTGCAGTGTAGCAATGATTACACATATAACTTTCCTTAGTTCCTAAATGCTTCCTCCCCCCACTATCATGATCACAATTCTACCTTACAAATCTGGCTAGACCAGAGGATGTACACTGGTACAGATAAGAACTGGAAACAGGGAATCCAGGACGGATGATCCCTTCAGGACCAGTGGTGAGAGTGGCTATACCGGGAGGGTGGAAGGAGGGTGGGGTAGAAAGGGGGAACTGATTACCGGAATCTACATATAACCTCCTCCCTGGGGGATGCACAACAGAAAAGTGGGTGAAGGAGACATCGGATAGTGTAAGATATGACAAATTAATAATTTATTAATTATCAAGGGTTCATGAGGGAGTGGGTAGCAGAGGCAGTGGGGAAAAAATGAGGAGCTGATGCCAGGGGCTTACATGGAGAGCAAATGTTTTGAGGTGGGACCCTCGGGCCACGAACAACTTTGCTATCAGACAGAGATTATTGTCAACTTGATTATGGTGGATGGAACTAAGGTATGATACTTCTTGGTCAGTTGATCTCCCTCTTGACCCAACCTGAATTTGCTCTAGTTGTAAATATTTCTCACTGCTTCCATGAAAAAAAAAAAAAAAAAAAAAGTCCTCTCTGGCTTATTTTAATATTGCTGGTGGTCTTTTCTTTCTTACTCTCTCATTTCATTATTATTTTCTTTGTTTTTCTTTGTTTTTTATTGTTTCTGATAGGATTCCCAGTTGATGCAGTACAGAAGTGGATGCAGAGAGACAATAACTAATGCAATGGTTTATTGGGGATGTGTGGGGGGATGGTGAGGGCAATTAGGGAGCAAATAATGAATATGGGAAGGGAGAGAAAGCACCAGAACTGATTGTGATGATGTATATACAACTCTGTTGAAAAGCGACTTGGCGATGGGTAAATAAGGAAGTTCATGTGTTTCCTTCTAAATCTTTTATCACACACATATAAACATTCATAAGCAACACATACAATTGCTTTGTGTATGGTTACATGTATTTGTATTTCTCCACCTTGCTTCACTCAGCAGGCTTTCAGCTTACAGTGCTTACTAGGCATGGCTCTGAGGGCTCATGCATAAACAGGATTCATTACATACTTTACATTTTCTAACAGACATTTGGCTTTGCCACATTGCATTTCTGGTTCCTTATTGTCTGACAACTTTGTGCTGTTGCAAAACTTATTGTGGTAGTTACATAATCTGTTGTCAATTTGAGACTATTAAGAGTGAAGGAGAGTTTAGCCTGTCAATCAGGTAACAGCTTGATGACCTCATTTGGAGGCCTTAAAGAGATAAATAGCTTGCTGGAGGTGGGACACACACACTCTCCCTGTGAGACATTCCTGTTGACAAGCCACATGGCAGCTACACTGATGGAGCCATAGCCCTGGAGCTGGAGGAGCCACGTGGAGACCCACACCTGTGCTGAGATACTTCCACCACCACTTGATCCACAAGATTTTCCACCCACTGGCCTGTGATCTTCCTGCATTCAGCGTCATTGCATGTGTTGCGTGAGTCTGAAGAGGAATTTGTAGATGGGTATTGGACATATGGGCTAATATCAGACTTATGGACTTGATCTGGACTGGGATGTTTTCTTGATATATAATTACTCTTTTATATAAAGCTCTTTCTTATACACATATGCATGTCTATGAATTTGTTTCTCTAGTGAACCCAGACAAACACATTTACATATGTCTTCCTATGTTAGGTACACGTTTTTCTGAGGAACCACTGTTCTTTAGTCCTAGAAAGTTGTACTTACAAATGCCTATTTAATATTATAGTAATAAGACAAACTTGGTAACTTTAAAAATATTTATTAGTAAGAATCAGTGGGCATTAAACCAAAAGTAATAGATACAATTGGGCATCGTTGAGAACATACCTTTCTCATCAAATACAGAAAAAAAGCATAGCTTTACGATCTACCTGTTTTCAGCACTGTGTTCTGCATGTATGAACTGGGACCAGCCCAGACAGGGCCCTTTGAGGCACAGAGAGGAAAATGAGCAGTTGATATCACATGATACTGAGGCTGTATCATTGAATTTCGTTTAAATAAGGATAGTTAAAATAGTAAACTAGATACCTCTGAATACAAATCAGAGCCCCTTCATTTATAAGTTAGCTAGTTAGCTCATTATTCAACTTGCAACAAGTAAACACTGCAGAGCACGGATAGATTCCACTAACAGCTCAGTGTCCGCCACCACGTGGCAAGATTCTTGACCTTGGTGGAAAACCTCAGCCATCCACAACTCCTTCAGAAAATTCTGGGTTTACTGGGACACAGTCCCCAATTGTTGGCTAAAGGTTAGTTTTAGGTCTTGGTCCTTGTATAGTTTGCAAGCTAATGTCACACCAGCATTCTAACGTACCATTTCTGACTATAAAATGACTACGGACCTACATAAAACGGTTCTTGTCTATGCCAATCTTAGGGATTTCATTGGAAAACCACTCACTCCTGGGAGAGTCCACACTTTGTTTACAACAGATAGATGTGCCAGACCCCACCAGTGAAGTGAGTAGCATATAAAGTATCATCTTTACATGTACACATACCACACATGAAAAGAAACAGGCAGAAAGCAGCAAGTAAACAGAATGGGAAAGACAGTACACCACGTGTAATTGTTTGACATTTTAGAATAACCATGATTTCAGAGTGTTCATATACAGTCTAGTTCAATGATTAGTCAGAAAGTCTATAAAACCCCAAAGCCTAAATAAAGGCATGTGACAAAGCCTCATTGCTGGACAAAGCCAGAGGACTTGTCTTCAGGTAAAAACCCTTGTGGCTGCCAGGGCCCATATGCTATTGCCTTTCCCCTGGGTGTCTGAAGATATATAAAAAATCTACATGAAGACATATATATATATGTCTTCAGACTGATTTGAATCGGTAAGGCAACATGGAACAGGAGGAGTGGCTTCACACCCTCGGGTGTTTCTGAAATAAAACCATGGGCTCATGATGTTGGCACATGCTTGAGAGTAACCATGTTATGGAAGACACTGGCCTCTGCGAAACTAAGCCAAAAGCTTTGAAGCTATTGGAGTGACTGCCCACTTTTCTAGGGGCCCTGAACTACTGTTTAAAATTAAAACCAAGTTCTCCAAAAAACAAAAATAAAAACAACCCCTCGCCAAACAAACAAAAACACCAAGTTCTCCAGAAACAAATCAAGTTTCTTAGAACTGGATAATTAAAGGGTCAGAAATGAGCCCTGGTATCATCTGGAAAATTCCGTTTTTAATGTATGTATGTATGCATGTATTGAATCTTGGAAGAGCCGCGGCTACTGCTTGTTCTGCAAGCAGAAGGATGCTCGCTAGTAAGGCGAACGGCACAGGGGAAACACCGTCTGTGCAGAGACCCTATCAAGATGCCCACATTCTCCATGCTGACACTGCTGAGCTACGTGTCTGAGAGATCCCAGAGGCACTCTTCAATCCCACACGCACGTTTCAGCCTTCACTGTCTGAACGTTCACAAGTTAAGGGTACACTGAAGACGAAACCGATAGCGTAGGCCGTAGAAAAGCATAGCTCTGAACTTTGTAGCAGTGCGACTCGATGGCTCTCCCCACAGAAGGCACGGTGGGCGCAGTCACAATGTGTTCTGGAACGGGCTCATGTTGAGTTGCTGAAGTTTCTAAGTCTTTACATGACAGGTTTCAATAAACACTGGTTGGCCCCTGAGTGGTCACAGCACTTGGCATCATGCTTCACAATCGACTATTCATTTCCAGGTGTTTGTTCTACATTACTAACCCCAACAAAAGCCATTGTTGGGAACTGAAGAACCACCTCTCAGTATAAACCCTGATAGAAAATTAACTGCTTCTTGATCCTAAATGTTTATGAAAGTTAGGATGGTAATAAGATTTGATTTTGGAGTGGAAATAGTTTTTCTTCCTTTTCTTATGCTTCCTTCATTTACTGCCTGTGAATTCACACATCTTTAATTAACTGTTTGAATAAGAACCGAAAAAAGTTTCAATCACACACTGTTTTTCATAACAGGATTGGACTATTAACAGGATTTGCCCTAATAACCTCCTCCCCAAATGGGGACACTGTTAAATGCTCTGATTTTGTATGATTTGGGGTCTAGATTCTTAAGGTGCGGATACTGGCTGGCTATCTCAACCTGAAAGCAGTTACTATGGAAAGTTTTCACTATGCTTTAGATCCAAGTCTCTTCTAGTTCAGGGGTGAGGAGCCCCCAGCTTGTGAAATCATCTATACCAGCGGCCCTCACATGCCTCACCAAGGAGAAGCCGTCCTAGCCATCACACGAGGGATGAGTTAAATGATTTTTAAGCTGACAATTTTGTATGCCCATGAATGATGTTATCAATATGCAAATGGCCCTTGGCAGAATAAAGACTTCCCATCACTTTTCTAATTCGTTAACTTGTATCCCCGTACGACACTGTAACAGTGTCTGCATTAAACTCTCTAGTAGAGTAGGGCTTTATGACTGCGGTCCTCATTTATGCTAGGCGGTTTCCCAAATACCACTCACGTAACAGATGTAACATAGAAACTACTTCAATGACTCTCAAATGTGACCTTCCAATGCCCACATGATATGCGAGCTTTTAGTCAGATTTAGTGTGCTTGTAGTTAACCAAACCAAGAAAAATGCTTCTCCTTTAAACATTTGAGATGTAGACAACACTTCAAATACTACCCCCTACCCCCCACCCCCAATTTTTTAATAGTCAAGTTTGAAGCTTGAGCGATGGTCCAATTACACTTCTCTGATTTCTTTCTAAAAATTGCTAAGTTCCAAAGCCAGCTAAAAATTTACCTTATACATGAAATGTCCCTTTTAGTGGTAACTGACAAAGGTAACAGCTCTAGAAAATGACTGGATTTTGGCTAGGTAGCCCAGGGTATCAGAGTTGTGTACCACGTTGTAAACCCATACATGTAACAGACCAGAAACACTTTTAGACAAGTTCAAGGATTATGAAAAAGTTCTTAACATGAAAACGCACATATATTAATTATGTACCATCCATTCCCTGTCTTGTACATTTTATGCACTAAAAACCATTTTGTAGCAGTGTGGTGGTTTTTGGACAATGGGTTTTCTGAAATTCTTTTCTGAGGGTATTTTCTGTTCCATTCCCTGCTGCCTTCGACAAGGCCAGCGTGCTTGCTCTTCTGGTGTGGGGTGTGCTGGGTTGCTGAATATGGAGGACTGTACGCCGCGCACAAGAGGAGACTGGCTCTTTCAGGTGTGTTCAGGCAAGGGCTGGTCAACAGCACCTCCGGCTGGCCTGTGTGGTCGGCTTCCCGAGCTTAACTGCTCCACTGTTTCCATTTTCATGAGGGTCTAAGGGTGGGATCTGGCGACCTGGAAAAGAAAGCAGGCCAACGCTGAGTCCCCTTTCCTCCAGTCATGTCACACACACACCTACTGGTCTTGATTGATTAGTGTTTGGGTTGGACAGAAAGTGGCGGAACTACAGAAGTGGTTAGCTCCTCCTTCCTTCCCTCTACCCCTCTTCTCCTTCCCCCTAGCTCTGCTGTATGAACTCAGACTCGTACTGAGAAAGACAAGGAAAAGGAAATGAAGCTTCTTGGTACTGCTGTTTTACTTGGATGTAGCTCACCTTGCTACTGAGTTTGGTAGAGGTTTCTACCAAGTATCTCTGCACCAACACCATCCACTTGCTACTTCCTAGACTTTCCATGACGCTGTCCTAATCTAATGAGCTTCTATATAACATTATGACCTTAGTAACAGTATCCACCTTTGCTTCTTAAAACGGGGTGTTGTAATCTTCCTACTATCCTTCATCTTGCCAGTGCACTTCGATCACGAACCAGTGTGCTCTATAGTCACTCAACACAGGAAACAATATTTTCATATAACACACAAGTAATTTCATTTTGCTTAAGTTTTAAAAGCTATCTTAGTGTTTCTGGTAAACATATATAAAATAAAATAAAGGCAAAGTGATAGCTAATGGGTATCAGGTTATTTCTCGAGGGGATAAATAGGGCCTCCATCGCCCACTGTGGTTATGGGTGCACATATCTGTGAATATATGAAAACTGAGGTGTTTACACTTCAAATGGATGAACTGGGTGGTATGGGAATGGGAATCACCAAAAACCAGTTGCTGTCAACTAAGCCAACTAGTGGCAAGTGCATGTGTGTCAGATTAGAACTGTGTTCCACTGGCTTTTCTTCCTTTTCACTCGATGGCTTTGGCTTTATTTGTTTATTGGGGTTTGGGTTAAAGTTTACAGAGCAAATTAATTTTCCACTGAACAATTCATGCACATTTTGTTTCATAACATGAGTTGCAATTCCCTCTTCAGTGCACTCTTCCCACTTCCTCTTGGAGCTCCCATTTCCACTCATCTTTTTTTCTTGCCCCTTCCTGTCTTCTGAGCTCTGTTTTTCAGCAAATGCTGTTCTTTCCGTATCCTACAGTTGGGTGTACTGAAGGATACTTTCATTTCTAGTATTACTGTTCACTTTAGAAACCTATCTGTTATCTGGCTGCAAGGTGGTCTCTGGGGGTGAGTTTGGGTCCAGATATGAAGAGTATCTATGAAGCATAGTCTTGGGGTTTCTACTAGGCAAGTAAATTTGGTCTTTTTCATAATTTTGAATTTTGTTTCACACTTTTCTCTCACTGTATCCAGAGCACTCTCTCGTCCCAATCAGAGCAATTGGTAGCAGTAGCAGATACCATCTAGTTCTTTTATCAGGCTAATGGAGAATGGCTTGGTGGTCCATTAGTCCTGTGGACTAATTGTTTTCCTTGAGTCTTTTATTTTCTTTACTCTTTTTTTTCTCTCTGGATGGGAAATAGAGAGCTGTTAATAGTTGAACTTTTGGTAGTAGACTGCTAGTTCTAAAGCATGTCTGAGTGGATTTAAACTGCCAAGTTTTCAGTAAGCAGCTGAGCATTACCTGTCTGTGCTACCCAGGAACGCTATGACAACATCCTCTCAACAGAGCTATTTCTAAAAAGGTAACAGAATCTGGAAATAACAAATATTTCCTTAGATGCTCACAGTCTTTCCAGGGAACACCCTTACTTAGCTCTGTGAAGTTCTTTTCCTGGTTGCTGCTATCATAATTTCCCCATGACTCAGAGCACTTAGGCAATCACAGATAATTTCTGACAGTAAGTGATACAGTTGGTTTTTTAAATCCATATCTTGAATTTTTGTTGGACCTAATGACTGTGTTTTCCTACACTGTGTTTGTACTAGATTGACCTTTTCATTTAATTTTCTATCCCTTACTGGGAAAAAATGGCATAAAATATTAGCTTGAATCTAATTATTTTTTTTACCAATTAACTTTCACAGATGTTTCCTTGAATTATGGTGTTGGAAAATAATAATAACAACATGGTGAAGGGAGAAAGCTCCTTAGAAAAGAGGATGGTGAGACTTTGTCTCATGTACTTTGGACATGTTATCAAGATAGTGTAGTTCCTGGAAAGGCAAATCATGCTTGGTAAAAGGAAGAAGATCATTAATGAGACACATTGACATAGTGGTTACAACAATTGGAACAAATACATGAATGACTGTAAGGACCAGGCAACGTTTCATTCTGTTGTTCACAGGGTGGCTAGAGGTTGGAACCAACTCAAAGGCACCTAGCAACACCAACAATGTGTGTTAGTTTAGTATGTACTCAGAAATCAGAAATAGAAGGGAGATCAATTCTAGGAACAAAGTCCTTCGATGAAGATGTATGTTATCTAAGCAAGATACAGACAGTCAAGATAACCTGGCCAAGGTATATTTCCACCAGCAGTATAGCAGATGATGTCAGAGACTAATGTTTTGTGTAGATTGGAAGGTATGACTCTTAGAGCTAAAGCATAAGGATGAAAGTCATTGACAATTATCCAAAATCCAAAATTAATAATAGAGCTCTTCATCTGATGACTGAGCAAATGAAAAGGTTAGATAACTTCTGCAGTTTTTACTTCTACTATTTTATGTGGTCAACAAACCCTCACTAGACTTTTATAAGATATTCTCAACAAACTTCAGTCCAACTCTCAAAGCAAATGAGAAAATAAGTATGCATCTCTATCTTTTGGATGCCATTTTAAAAAAAATGAAAAGGAAATCAAGTATCTCAATTACTGTGTCAATCTGAAATTTTAGATAGAAGAGAAATTCCCCATTGACAACTAATACTCTTTAGAGATTAATTCAAGTCAGATCTTGTTAATGAAAGTGTTATTTACTTCTAAAGAGGACATGATAGGTTGGGAGGGGTGATATTATAAAATTTTATCTTTAGAGGCCCTACTTCCATTAAATGTAAAAGCAAAATCCCCTCTTAACATAGCACTTATCACACTTGGGAGTACCTAAAATACTTCTGAACAATAAGAATTATAATTGTGGTTGGCATAGGCTGTTGCCTTAATTAACTACAAGACAAGAACTGCTTATTGATCAATATAAAAATTTTAAAACATTTTTACAATCTCAAAATCCTATATTACCATAAATTATATGCTATTTTTATTTGTTAACACTAAAGTTATTATTTTTTAATTTTTTTAAATAATCATTTTATTAGGGGCTCATACGACTCATCACAATCTGTACATACGTCATCTGTGTCCAGCACTTTAGTACATATGTTGACTTCATCATTCTTACGACGTCCACTTTCCACTTGTTCTCCTGGTTTCAGCTCATTTTTCCCTCTCCCTCCCCGCTCCCTAAAGTTATTTTACACACACATATATACTGTGTTTCCTAAGTATAATTACTTTTCCCTATGAAAAATTCCAAAATTATGGGAAAATTATATTCATAAACTAGAAACAAAGAACATGGAGTAAGCAGATGGGAATGCCCTGTTGACCTGTCACACCTGCCTTGCTCGCTTATTCTCCATCTTTCTTGCTTCTCACTTCTTTCAAAGTAGACAATGAGCAAGACAACTTTTGGGTGTCAGAATTGTTTAAGTCTCAAGTTGTGTCTCAAGGAGGAGCCTCTCAAGTATTTTAAGCTGCTTGTAACAGTTTTGACTCAGTGGTTGAATTGTGCTTTGTAAAGATGTTAGAATTTTTCATCTTCAGAATATTAATAATCTTACTTTTTAGACAAAATATTTTTCAAAGACAATTGTGTAGCAATTGTACAATACTGCTTGATGTGACTGAAGTAGGAAAGATATGATATCTGTATTAGCTCCCAATAAAATGGTTTTGAAAAAAAATTAACATCTTCCCCCCAAAACAGAATTATAGATAAATTCCTGCAATGAAGATTAAAATAAAAGGAAGGAACAGAGTAGACAATCAATAGTTGGAGAAAATATCAAACTGATTATAACATACAACAAACTATTTTGAATTTGGAAAGGAAAACACGCACACGCGCGCGCGCGCACGCACACACACAACCACACACACACACACCAAACCAAAAATCAAAAGAAAAAATTAAAACTTCAACAAAACAAAAATGAAACTCCTAAGGCAAGCAATAAGATAAAAACAAAAAAAGCAAACAGAGTATTGACAGGACAATCAACAAACAAAAGCAACATAACATAAAAACAATCATGGAAATTGAAACCAGTAACATAATAGAAAAAAAATTATGCCAACAACAGTATCTACCAATAACAACAGTGATTGCAAATGGATTGAAGTCACCAATTAAGAGATAAAGATGACTAAAATGAATAAGGAAACATGAACCTTTAATGTGCTGCTTATAATAAATGCACATTGGATAAAAGACAAAGGATAGAAAAAATATACCAAGCTGGATCTCAATATTAATCTCACAAAGGCTGGATCTCAATATTAATCTCACAAAATAGGCATTAAAATAAAAAAACAATGAAAGATTAAGAAGGTCACTATATAATTATGAAAGCTTTAATTGAATGAAACACCATAACCATAATTAATATATTATGAACCAAATGAAAGACGATCAAAAATACATTAATTAAATTCTTACAGAAATGAAGTGACAAATAGACCATAATACTAGAAGACTTCAATACATCACTTATATCCAAAGATTGAACAACTAGAAAGAAAATCAACCAGATATAGAAAAACAACACAATCAATCAACTTGGTATCTTAGACATATATAGAAGACTTCACCAAAAAAAACCCAACAACCTCATTTCACTGTTTTTTCCCTCTTGTGATCATGGCATCTACTCTGGAATAGATCATATTTTAGGTCATAAAGCAAGGATGGATAAATTTAAAAACCTCAACGATGAAACATAACTTTCCTGTAGTTCTCTAATGCTTCCTCCCCCCCACTATCATGATCCCAATTCTACCTTACAAATCTGGCTGGACCGGAGGATGTACATTGGTA